ACATTTTTTCTTGCTTAAAATTATCATAAAAGGAAAATTTTTAACAAAACGGACGTGATCAGGAGAGAGTTTTTTTTATATTAATGATATTTTTATTAATATTTAATTTATATAAAGTATATATATCTTAATATATTTTTTTATAATAAATTTTTTTATAATTTTTTGCTCCGGACCTATAATGGTTCCCATTTCCTAGTGTTACACTATATTTTTGCAGAAAGATGCGCAAACCGCCCTCAAACTAAAATAGACATCGTATGGTATGAATAAATAGAACAATAAAATAAATATTAAAGAAAAAATTTTTTTAGGCGACTTATATGTGAAGAAAGAAAAAAAGAAAAAATAAGAACTAAAAAAAAATATTTTTCAATTTTTCCTATTTTTCTTTCAATCATGAAAAAAATCTTTTTAATAAAGATTTTTCCGGTATTTTCTGGAATAAAAGATACAGAGGTATTTACCTAATTACATTTGTTTAAGCAATTAGTTTTCGCATTTTTTGCTCGATAAAAGTAAGACAAGGCAAAAACGAAATATTATTAGTTTTTATCTAATAATAATTATTTATTCTGTGTATTACATATCCGACGGATATTCTTTCTTTTAAAAAATTGCGAACTCGAGAAATTCTGAAAATAATAATAACAAAAAATTTTTTTTTTGAGAATTCATATTAAAGGTATTTTGGCTTCTAAAGATTCAGTCTATTTAATACCGTCATGCATTATTATACATTCCTTTTTGGGATGGTAATATTTTTATGAAACTAACCGGATAAGATATAAGCGTTAATCATAAATGCGTGATACGATTGTCTTGTAACCTTAACCTACCTGTTTGATTCTGCCAGTAGTCATATACTTGTCGGAAGGGGAAACTCACCAGGTCCAGACATAGTTAGGATTGACAGATTGAGGGCTCTTTCTTGATTCTATGGGTGGTGGTGCATGGCCGTTCTTAGTTGGTGGAGTGATTTGTCTGGTCAATTCCGTTAACGAACGAGACCTTAACCTGCTAAATAGTTAGTCCCTCTTTCGGGAGGTCGCAACTTCTTAGAGGGACTATCGGCGTTTAGCCGATGGAAGTTTGAGGTAATAACAGGTCTGTGATGCCCTTAGATGTTCTGGGCCGCACTGATGAAGTCATTGAGTCCTTTCCTTCACCGGAAGGTGTGGGTAACCTTTTGAAACTTCATCGTGATGGGGATAGAGCATTGCAATTATTGCTCTTCAACGAGGAATCCCTAGTAAGCGTGAG